TGCTGCTCTTGTGGGGGGTCCTTGTGGGGGTGCTGCTCTTGTGGGGGTCCTTGTGGGGGTGCTGCTCTTGTGGGGGTCCTTGTGGGGGTGCTGCTCTTGTGGGGGTCCTTGTGGGGGTGCTGCTCTTGTGGGGGTCCTTGGGGTGCTGCTCTTGTGGGGGTCCTTGTGGGGGTGCTGCTCTTGTGGGGGTCCTTGTGGGGGTGCTGCTCTTGTGGGGGTCCTTGTGGGGGTGCTGCTCTTGTGGGGGTCCTTGTGGGGGTGCTGCTCTTGTGGGGGTCCTTGTGGGGGTGCTGCTCTTGTGGGGGTGTCCTTGTGGGGGTGCTGCTCTTGTGGGGGTGCTTGTGGGGGTGCTGCTCTTGTGGGGGTCCTTGTGGGGGTGCTGCTCTTGTGGGGGTGGCTCTTGTGGGGGTGCTGCTCTTGTGGGGGTCCTTGTGGGGGTGCTGCTCTTGTGGGGGTGTGGCTCTTGTGGGGGTGCTGCTCTTGTGGGGGTGCTGCTCTTGTGGGGTGCTGCTCTTGTGGGGGTGCTGCTCTTGTGGGGGTCCTTGTGCTGCTCTTGTGCTGCTCTTGTGGGGGTCTTGTGGGGGTGCTGCTCTTGTGGGGTCCTTGTGCTGCTGCTCTTGTGGGGGTCCTTGTGGGGGTGCTGCTCTTGTGGGGGTCCTTGTGGGGGTGCTGCTCTCTTGTGGGGGTGCTGCTCTTGTGGGGGTGGGGCTGCTCTTGTGGGGGTCCTTGTGGGGGTGCTGCTCTTGTGGGGGTCCTTGTGGGGGTGCTGCTCTTGTGGGGGTCCTTGTGGGGGTGCTGCTCTTGTGGGGGGTTGCTGCTCTTGTGGGGGGTGCTGCTCTTGTGGGGGTCCTTGTGGGGGTGCTGCTCTTGTGGGGGTCCTTGTGGGGGTGCTGCTCTTGTGGGGGTCCTTGTGGGGGTGCTGCTCTGCTCTTGTGGGGGTCCTTGTGGGGGTGCTGCTCTTGTGGGGGTGGGGGTGCTGCTCTTGTGGGGGTCCTTGTGGGGGTGCTGCTCTTGTGGGGGGTGCCTTGTGGGGGTGCTGCTCTTGTGGGGGTCCTTGTGGGGGTGCTGCTCTTGTGGGGGTCCTTGTGGGGGTGCTGCTCTTGTGGGGGTCCTTGTGGGGGTGCTGCTCTTGTGGGGGTCCTTGTGGGGGTGCTGCTCTTGTGGGGGTCCTTGTGGGGGTGCTGCTCTTGTGGGGGGTCCTTGTGGGGGTGCTGCTCTTGTGGGGGTCCTTGTGGGGGTGCTTGTGGGGTGGGGGTCCTTGTGGGGGTGCTGCTCTTGTGGGGGTCCTTGTGGGGGTGCTGCTCTTGTGGGGGTCCTTGTGGGGGTGCTGCTCTTGTGGGGGTCCTTGTGGGGGTGCTGCTCTGTGTGTGGGGGTGCTGCTCTTGTGGGGGTGCTGCTCTTGTGGGGGTCCTTGTGGGGGTGCTGCTCTTGTGGGGGTCCTTGTGGGGGTGCTGCTCTTGTGGGGGTCCTTGTGGGGGTGCTGCTCTTGTGGGGGTCCTTGTGGGGGTGCTGCTCTTGTGGGGGTCCTTGTGGGGGTGCTGCTCTTGTGGGGGTGGGGCTGCTGCTTGTGGGGGGGTCCTTGTGGGGGTGCTGCTCTTGTGGGGGTCCTTGTGGGGTGCTGCTCTTGTGGGGGTGGGGGTGCTGCTCTTGTGGGGGTCCTTGTGGGGGTGCTGCTCTCTTGTGGGGGTGCTGCTCTTGTGGGGGTCCTTGTGGGGGTGCTTGTGCTCTTGTGGGGGTGCTGCTCTTGTGGGTGCTGCTCTTGTGGGGGGCTGCTCTTGTGGGGGTCCTTGTGGGGGTGCTGCTCTTGTGGGGGTCCTTGTGGGGGTGCTGCTCTTGTGGGGGTCCTTGTGGGGGTGCTGCTCTTGTGGGGGTCCTTGTGGGGGTGCTGCTCTTGTGGGGGTCCTTGTGGGGGTGCTGCTCTTGTGGGGGTCCTTGTGGGGGTGCTGCTCTTGTGGGGCTGCTCTTGTGGGGGTGCTGCTCTTGTGGGGGTGCCTTGTGGGGGTGCTGCTCTTGTGGGGGTCCTTGTGGGGGTGCTGCTCTTGTGGGGGTGCTGCTCTTGTGGGGGTGCTGCTCTGCTCTTGTGGGGGTGCTGCTCTTGTGGGGGTGCTGTGGGGCTCTTGTGGGGGTGCTGCTCTTGTGGGGGTGCTGCTCTTGTGGGGGTGCTTGTGGGCTCTTGTGGGGGTGCTGCTCTTGTGGGGGTCCTTGTGGGGGTGCTGCTCTTGTGGGGGGCTCCTTGTGGGGGTGCTGCTCTTGTGGGGGTGCTGCTCTTGTGGGGGTGCTGCTCTTGTGGGGGTGCTGCTCTTGTGGGGGTGCTGCTCTTGTGGGGGTGCTGCTCTTGTGGGGGTGCTGCTCTTGTGGGGGTCCTTGTGGGGGTGCTGCTCTTGTGGGGGTGCTGCTCTTGTGGGGGTGCTGCTCTTGTGGGGTGCTGCTCTTGTGGGGGTGCTGCTCTTGTGGGGGTCCTTGTGGGGGTGCTGCTCTTGTGGGGGTGCTGCTCTTGTGGGGGTGCTGCTCTTGTGGGGGTCCTTGTGGGGGTGCTGCTCTTGTGGGGGTCCTTGTGGGGGTGCTGCTCTTGTGGGGGTGCTGGCTCTTGTGGGGGTGCTGCTCTTGTGGGGGTCCTTGTGGGGGTGCTGCTCTTGTGGGGGTCCTTGTGGGGGTGCTGCTCTTGTGGGGGTCTCTTGTGGGGGTGCTGCTCTTGTGGGGGTCCTTGTGGGGGTGCTGCTCTTGTGGGGGTGCTGCTCTTGTGGGGGTGCTGCTCTTGTGGGGGTGCAGCTCTTGTGGGGGTGCTGCTCTTGTGGGGGTCCTTGTGGGGGTGCTGCTCTTGTGGGGGTCCTTGTGGGGGTGCTGCTCTTGTGGGGGTGCTGCTCTTGTGGGGGTCCTTGTGGGGGTGCTGCTCTTGTGGGGGGGTCTCTTGTGGGGGTGCTGCTCTTGTGGGGGTGCTGCTCTTGTGTGCTCTTGTGGGGGTGCTGCTCTTGTGGGGGTCCTTGTGGGGGTGCTGCTCTTGTGGGGGTCCTTGTGGGGGTGCTGCTCTTGTGGGGGTGCTGCTCTTGTGGGGGTCCTTGTGGGGGTGCTGCTCTTGTGGGGGTCCTTGTGGGGGTGCTGCTCTTGTGGGGGTGCTTGTGGGGGTGCAGCTCTTGTGGGGGTGCTGCTCTTGTGGGGGTGCTGCTCTTGTGGGGGTGCTGCTCTTGTGGGGGTGCTGCTCTTGTGGGGGGTGGGGGTGCTCTTGTGGGGGTGCTGCTCTTGTGGGGGTGCTGCTCTTGTGGGGGTCCTGCTGTGGGGGGGCAGCTCTTGTGGGGGTGCTGCTCTTGTGGGGGTGCTGCTCTTGTGGGGGTGCTGCTCTTGTGGGGGTGCTTGTGGGGGTGCTGCTCTTGTGGGGGTGCTGCTCTTGTGTGCTGCTCTTGTGGGGGTGCTGCTCTTGTGGGGGTGCTGCTCTTGTGGGGGTGCTGCTCTTGTGGGGGTGCTGCCTTGTGGGGGTGCTGCTCTTGTGGGGGTGCTGCTCTTGTGGGGGTGTGCTCTTGTGGGGGTGCTGCTCTTGTGGGGGTCCTTGTGGGGGTGCTGCTCTTGTGGGGGTGCTGCTCTTGTGGGGGGCAGCTCTTGTGGGGGTGCTCTTGTGGTGGCTCTTGTGCTGCTCTTGTGGGGGTGCTGCTCTTGTGGGGGTGCTGCTCTTGTGGGGGTGCTGCTCTTGTGGGGGTGCTGCTCTTGTGGGGGTCCTTGTGGGGGTGCCTTGTGGGGGTGCTGCTCTTGTGGGGGTGCTGCTCTTGTGGGGGTGCTGCTCTTGTGGGGGTGCTGCTCTTGTGGGGGTCCTTGTGGGGGTGCTGCTCTTGTGGGGGTCCTTGTGGGGGTGCTGCTCTTGTGGGGGTCCTTGTGGGGGTGCTGCTCTTGTGGGGGTGCTGCTCTTGTGGGGGTGCTGCTCTTGTGGGGGTCCTTGTGGGGGTGCTGCTCTTGTGGGGGTGCTGCTCTTGTGGGGGTCCTTGTGGGGGTGCTGCTCTTGTGGGGGTGCAGCTCTTGTGGGGGGTGCTGCTCTTGTGGGGGTCCTTGTGGGGGTGCTGCTCTTGTGGGGTGCTGCTCTTGTGGGGGTGCTGCTTGTGGGGGTCCTTGTGGGGGTGCTGCTCTTGTGGGGGTGCTGCTCTCTTGTGGGGGTCCTTGTGGGGGTGTGCTCTTGTGGGGGTGCTGCTCTTGTGGGGGTGTGGGGGTGCTGCTCTTGTGGGGGTGCTGCTCTTGTGGGGGTGCTGCTCTTGTGGGGGTGCTGCTTGTGGGGGTGCTGCTCTTGTGGGGTTGCTGCTCTTGTGGGGGTGCTGCTCTTGTGGGGGGTCCTTGTGGGGGTGCTGCTCTTGTGGGGGTGCTTGTGGGGGTGCTGCTCTTGTGGGGGTGCTGCTCTTGTGGGGGTCCTTGTGGGGGTGCTGCTCTTGTGGGGTTGCTGCTCTTGTGGGGGTGCTGCTCTTGTGGGGGGGTCCTTGTGGGGGTGCTGCTCTTGTGGGGTCCTTGTGCTGCTCTTGTGGGGGTCCTTGTGGGGGGGTGCTGCTCTTGTGGGGGTGCTGCTCTTGTGGGGGTGCTGCTCTTGTGGGGTTGCTGCTCTTGTGGGGTTGCTGCTCTTGTGGGGGTCCTTGTGGGGGTGCTGCTCTTGTGGGGGTCCTTGTGGGGGTGCTGCTCTTGTGGGGGTGCTGCTCTTGTGGGGGTCCTTGTGGGGGTGCTGCTCTTGTGGGGGTCCTTGTGGGGGTGCTGCTCTTGTGGGGGTCCTTGTGGGGGTGCTGCTCTTGTGGGGTCCTTGTGGGGGTGCTGCTCTTGTGCTGCTCTTGTGGGGGTGCTGCTCTTGTGGGGGTGCTGCTCTTGTGGGGGTGCTGCTCTTGTGGGGGTGCTGCTCTTGTGGGGGTGCTGCTCTTGTGGGGGTGCTGCTCTTGTGGGGGTGCTGCTCTTGTGGGGGTGCTGCTCTTGTGGGGGTGCTGCTCTTGTGGGGGTCTTGTGGGGGGTGCTGCTCTTGTGGGGGTGCTGCTCTTGTGGGGGCCCTATATATTCATTATAGAAGTATATAGAAGCACATAGAACCATATAGAACCATATAGAAGCCCATAGAAGCATTTAGAACCATATAGAAGCACATAGAACCATATAGAAGCCCATAGAACCATATAGAACCATATAGAAGCCCATAGAACCATATAGAAGCCCATAGAACCATATAGAACCATATAGAAGCCCATAGAAGCATTTAGAACCATATAGAAGCACATAGAACCATATAGAACCATATAGAAGCACATAGAACCATATAGAGCCATATAGAAGCACATAGAACCATATAGAAGCACATAGAACCATATAGAAGCACATAGAACCATATAGAAGCACATAGAACCATATAGAACCATATAGAAGCCCATAGAACCATATAGAACCATATAGAAGCCCATAGAAGCATTTAGAACCATATAGAAGCACATAGAACCATATAGAAGCCCATAGAACCATATAGAACCATATAGAAGCCCATAGAAGCATTTAGAACCATATAGAAGCACATAGAACCATATAGAAGCCCATAGAACCATATAGAAGCCCATAGAAGCATTTAGAACCATATAGAAGCACATAGAACCATATAGAACCATATAGAAGCACATAGAACCATATAGAACCATATAGAAGCCCATAGAAGCATTTAGAACCATATAGAAGCACATAGAACCATATAGAACCATATAGAAGCCCATAGAACCATATAGAACCATATAGAAGCACATAGAACCATATAGAAGCACATAGAAGCACATAGAACCATATAGAACCATATAGAAGCCCATAGAAGCATTTAGAACCATATAGAAGCACATAGAACCATATAGAACCATATAGAAGCCCATAGAAGCATTTAGAACCATATAGAAGCACATAGAACCATATAGAACCATATAGAAGCCCATAGAACCATATAGAAGCACATAGAAGCACATAGAAGCACATAGAAGCACATAGAAGCACATAGAAGCACATAGAAGCACATAGAACCATATAGAAGCACATAGAAGCACATAGAAGCACATAGAACCATATAGAAGCACATAGAAGCACATAGAACCATATAGAACCATATAGAAGCACATAGAAGCACATAGAAGCACATAGAAGCATATAGAAGCACATAGAATCACATAGAACCATATAGAAGCACATAGAACCATATAGAAGCACATAGAAGCATATAGAAGCATTAATCGTATATTCTCATTGGAACATTGGGAAGTGGAGACAGATGGAGGGAACACTAGACAGACAGACAGAAGGGGAGAAAGGTAAGTAGACGGGTAGTTAGCCGTGGGTTAAAAGGGAAGAGGGGCAGTTAGGTAACTCTGGGTACTGCAGGTAGACTATACCTGGTACCTGGCCACCAGGTGGGTACCCCCAGGTACCTCCAGTGGTCAGTTGGGTTACCTGCTCCTGATGGGTAGACCCTAGAGGGGTAGTGGACGCTTTAAACCTATCCTTTGGGTTAGCAAGTGATGTGTAAACCTGTCCTTTGGGCTAGCAAGTGATGTGTAAACCTATCCTTTGAGCCCTCAAGTGATGTGTAAACCTATCCTTTGAGCCCTCAAGTGACGTGTAAACCTATCCTTTGAGCCCTAAAGTGACGTGTAAACTATCATTTATTTATCGTCCTCTTAAATTTTCCACTCCAGAAGTGGAAGCAGCTCCACTTCCACTTCTCCACTTTCTGTCTAGCCAGAAGCGTACGGTCCCAAGCAACCCTCCTAACCTATCCAGGCCGATGCATAGACAACGTCAGTATTTCGTTGCTTTTAGTGTTACTGGTACATTTTAGGTTTAACGGATTTTTAACGAATTGTAACGGTTTTTAACGGATTGTAACGAATTTTTAACAAGTTTTAACGGGTTTAACGAATTTTAACGTTTTTTAACGAATTGTAACTGATTTTAAAGGATTTTAAACAGATTTTAACGAATTGTAACGGTTTTTAACGAATTTTAACGGATTTTAACGAATTGTAACCGATTTTAACGGATTGTAACTGATTTTAACGAATTGTAACCGATTTTAACGGATTTTTAATGGATTTTTAACGGATTTTTAATGGATTTTTAACGAATTGTAACGGATTTTAACGAATTGTAACGAATTTTAACGGATTTATAACACCGAAATTGCATTCTGGTGCATGCTGCTCATATTGAATGTCAAAAAAAGGTGATTAACAATAAAATTCGAATTCGTACATGGACGTTGGTGATAGGAAGGGGGGTAGATGACGAGTGGACGGTAGATCATCTATCAGAGAGCAGCCTGACACCCTGACAGGTCAAGCTTGTCACTCATGAACTAACACCAGCCATCAAATAATCACAACTACAACTTTGTAAACTCAAACCGGTTTCAGCCACCCTTTTTTTTTTTTTTGCCCCTTTTCGCGTTGCCTCAGTCGTTAGAGACTTTAATTGCCAATTGAGCCTGAATGGCATTAATGGAATTGGTTGCCTGTTTATATATTGATATGGCAACCTGTCCCCTGTTGAGTTATCGTGAGTTATCTTGAGTTATCTCTCGAGGTATTGAACTATTCAGGTCGTTAGGATAGGTTGACAGGGAACTAGTTTAGCCTGACAAGCCTGCGAGTCTAAACAGCCCCTCCCCCATATAGGCTATTTGAGGTCAATGGTCATTAGTGCTAGAGAATGTAAAAAATGTGATGGTGTTTTCGCGTAAGACGCATTTCCGCCCCTAATATACCCATTTCCGCCCCTAATATACCCATTTCCGCCCCTAATATACCCATTTCCGCCCCTAATATACCCATTTCCGCCCCTAATATACCCATTTCCGCCACTAATATACCCATTTCCGCCCCTAATATACCCATTTCCGCCCCTAATATACCCATTTCCGCCCCTAATATACCCATTTCCGCCCCTAATATACCCATTTCCGCCCCTAATATACCCATTTCCGCCTCTAATGTACCCATTTCCGCCCCTAATATACCCATTTCCGCCCCTAATATACCCATTTCCGCCACTAATATACCCATTTCTGCCCCTAATAGACCCATTTCCGCCCCTAATATACCCATTTCCACCCCTAATAGACCCATTTCCGCCCCTAATATACCCATTTCCCCCCTAATATACCCATTTCTGCCCCTAATAGACCCATTTCCGCCTCTAATGTACCCATTTCCCCCCTAATATACCCATTTCCGCCCCTAATATACCCATTTCCGCCACTAATATACCCATTTCTGCCCCTAATAGACCCATTTCCGCCCCTAATATACCCATTTCCACCCCTAATAGACCCATTTCCGCCCCTAATATACCCATTTCCCCCCTAATATACCCATTTCTGCCCCTAATAGACCCATTTCCGCCCCTAATATACATATTTCCACCCCTAATATACCCATTTCCGCCACTAATATACCCATTTCCGCCACTAATATACCCATTTCCGCCCCTAATATACCCATTTCCGCCCCTAATATACCCATTTCTGCCACTAATATACCCATTTCTGCCCCTAATATACCCATTTCCGCCCCTAATATACCCATTTCCACCCCTAATAGACCCATTTCCGCCACTAATATACCCATTTCTGCCCCTAATATACCCATTTCCGCCCCTAATATACCCATTTCCACCCCTAATAGACCCATTTCCGCCACTAATATACCCATTTCTGCCCCTAATATACCCATTTCCGCCCCTAATATACCCATTTCCACCCCTAATAGACCCATTTCCGCCACTAATATACCCATTTCTGCCCCTAATATACCCATTTCCGCCCCTAATATACCCATTTCCACCCCTAATAGACCCATTTCCGCCACTAATATACCCATTTCTGCCCCTAATATACCCATTTCCGCCCCTAATATACCCATTTCCACCCCTAATAGACCCATTTCCACCCCTAATATACCCATTTCCCCCCTAATATACCCATTTCCGCCACTAATATACCCATTTCCGCCCCTAATATACCCATTTCCGCGGGCAAAACGGTCAATTAATGAGTCAAGCATGAGGAGGACAGCTGTGAGCCGTCAACTGGACAGGTTATCGGTGCAACAAGGCAGTTGACAGCTTGGTGATGGATGCTCTACCCTCGACACCCCGTCCTGTCCTCGGGGTTCGATTCCCAGAGCCGTCAGCGGGGTGGGAGTGCCCGCCGCGCGCGCCCTCATGCACGTATGCATCATTGATCAATGTTGCAAGATCTGTCTTGGCGTGACTGAAACAGTGGACTAGTTCTGTTCCACATAGGAGAGAGATGTAACATGGGGGAGACATGATCACCACATAGAAAATAGTTAGGGGGAGTAGACAGGGCAGACATTATCAGATTATAATTTAGCACATGATCACCACATACAAAATACTAAGGGGATTAGAGAGGGTATATAAAGACAGATAAATATATATAGTTACAAATGTGGATTAAATCTATACATCAGTCGATTAAGAGGCGGGACCCAAGAACTGTGGTTCGTCTCTCGCTAATACAACTGGATTCTTCTTCTTGGGGATATCTTGGGATTTCGGGGCTTTAGTGTCCCCGCGGCCCGGTCCTCGACCAGGCCTCCACCCCCAGGAAGCAGCCCGTGACAGCTGACTAACACCCAGGTACCTATTTTACTGCTAGGTAACAGGGGCATAGGGTGAAAGAAACTCTGCCTATTGTTTCTCGCCGACGCCCGGGATCGAACCCAGGACCACAGGATCACAAGTCCAGCGTGCTGTCCGCTCGGCCGACCAGCTCCTCGTGCACCAATGAGTGCAACAATGTAACAAAACTGTGACAAGATATCCGTGATATTGTCACTGAAGTTCGATCCCGCAATATTTCCTCCTAGCTACATGTCTGGGGAGTGTTGGGTCGCGGGTTCGATCCCTTAGTATGACCTCAATATTTGTGTTAACCACTGACATGTCTCCGCTGGTCCCTCCACAATACTTCTCCTAGTCCATGAATTACTACCTTATACAATCCTGCCTCTGAACCTTGCAACAATCCTGCCTCTGAACCTTGCAACAATCCTCCCTCTGAACCTTGCAACAATCCTCCCTCTGAACCTTGCAACAATCCTGCCTCTGAACCTTGCAACAATCCTGCCTCTGAACCTTGCAACAATCCTGCCTCTGAACCTTGCAACAATCCTGCCTCTGAACCTTGCAACAATCCTCCCTCTGAACCTTGCAACAATCCTCCCTCTGAACCTTGCAACAATCCTGCCTCTGAACCTTGCAACAATCCTGCCTCTGAACCTTGCAACAATCCTCCCTCTGAACCTTGCAACAATCCTCCCTCTGAACCTTGCAACAATCCTCCCTCTGAACCTTGCAACAATCCTCCCTCTGAACCTTGCAACAATCCTGCCTCTGAACCTTGCAACAATCCTGCCTCTGAACCTTGCAACAATCCTCCCTCTGAACCTTGCAACAATCCTCCCTCTGAACCTTGCAACAATCCTACCACTGAACCTTGCAACAATCCTGCCTCTGAACCTTGCAACAATCCTACCACTGACCCTTGCCACAATCCTCCCTCTGAACCTTGCAACAATCCTCCCTCTGTACCTTGCAACAATCCTACCACTGACCCTTGCCACAATCCTCCCTCTGTACCTTGCCACAATCCTCCCTCTGTACCTTGCAACAATCCTACCACTGACCCTTGCCACAATCCTCCCTCTGTACCTTGCAACAATCCTACCACTGAACCTTGCAACAATCCTACCTCTGAACCTTGCAACAATCCTACCACTGAACCTTGCAACAATCCTCCCTCTGAACCTTGCAACAATCCTACCACTGAACCTTGCAACAATCCTACCACTGAACCTTGCAACAATCCTCCCTCTGAACCTTGCAACAATCCTCCCTCTGAACCTTGCAACAATCCTAC